AAATGAATAAATATATAATCATATAATCACACAGTTTTTTGTTTTAACGTAACCAGAGATTTCGTAATATCATCTAGCTATTTAATAGTATGTTTTATCAAACTTAAATTCGGTAAAAAAAAAAGTCGGGACTCAAAGGGTTAAAATACATGATTTACTTTATTTTTCTCTTATATCGCTATAATTTTGAATCGGTGATCGGTTTTTCAGAATGAAGATGTGAAAAACTGAACAAAGCCATTAAATTATTCGATAGTTTTGAAAGGGAGAGAATTTTACTACTATACACAAAAGACCTGAATTCATTCTTTATGATTCTCTATTATTTAAGATTATTCATACGTTCAATGTTTTGTTATAATGAGAATAGCTACTATTATTATCAGGCTTTCTTTTTTTCATAAGTTTTTCAACGACAGACTATTTAAAAATAAGCAAAACAGAGAAAAAGAAAATTTTTGCTTTTTATCGAATGTATCATTCATTTCGATAGCATCATTAGAGTGTTATTTTAATATATTTAGTTATTAAATCTATGGCTTCATGAAATGTTCATTTTCATTTAACATGAGGCAAATCGTTTGATAAAATCCCCTCTGAATTCAATATCGATATGAAAAATTGACAAGAATTAATAGAAGAATGGACAATCCTCTTTTTAATGAAAAAACATTATATATATTGATTCGAAATTATTTTCAAAATAATTTAGGTTTATATAAAACTAAAATAAAAATTCCTAATTGTAAGTAAATTTAAAATGTCAAAGATCCAATTCATATATTCTCTAATGGCACAATCTAGTTGAACAAATTAATCGACTGATATAATGCATATATAAAGATCAATAATTTTAATGCTTTGATTTTTTTTACTTTTCTTAAAATTATGCTGCAATGTATTCTTACAAAACAATTTTCCATTAAAAATCAATGGTATTCTGATCTTTAACGGTGTTGAATGTCAAACTTTACGTGTATTAAAGCAACCGCCACTCATGTATGTTTTTTAGACATATTTGTTTAGAAAAAATCGTAAGACACCAGGTGAGTATTAAATCGTCATTTTATTAAGACGTGCTCTAGGGTCGCTCCATAGAAAATGCACAAATTGTCTGCTAAATCGAGTCTTCGTTTTCTTATGTCAGTAGTCAAAAGTTTAAAAATAATTTAACAAAATCCTGTTTATCAGTTTTTAGATTTCTTTTAGAAAGTTTTTCAAATTGATACATTTTAAGTTAATTATAGATATAAATATCATTCAAGCGACAAAGAAAAAGCGAATCTATGAACGATCTTTGTTGAATTTATCTAAGATTAAGTATAGAAATACTTCATGAAGACACTTCCTATGTATAACTAATTAAATAAAATATAAATTTCAGAGAAAATGACTTGTTTTTCAAAATGATATCATGTTTAAATAGTGAATTTTTCGATATTCAAGTCGACTTGAGACGTGTTGAGAATAGGGATGCACTTTCAAGCTCACCGTTAAGACCGGTGAAAGCCGGTAAGACTACGAAAGACCTACGGTGAAGGTCGGTGCATTGCCGACACCTGATCACACTAGTAGAAATACCTCTTAATATTAGAAGAAATCGGCCTTCACCGTAGGTCTTTTGTAGTCTTACCGGCTTTCACCGTTATCTCACCGTTGTATCCCTAGTTGAGAAGCATTCAAATCGTAAAAACTGAAGAAGGTATCAACTCGTTTTTTTCAAGTCATATTATTGATTTAGAGGCAAGTTTTTAAACTCACCGTGTATTTTCACGCTTGTTTTTTTCTGGAATGCTTTAAATCGCAATAATTTTTATTTCCCAATGGTTTATCGTGTCAAAATATCTTTCAGAAAGGTGAAAAATGATAAAAATAATTAACTTGTTAGATCACTATTAATTGAGTAATGAAATTGATTGAAAAAGAAATTCATTTTACTTTTTTTCTCATTCAGATTTTACAAATCGTGGAGAGGAAACATTATGTTCTAATCTATTTGTTTTCTCAAAAATGAATATGTAATAGAGCTATAAATTGCTCCAAAAAATAACGCACCAATGTTTATTTATTCATCATTTGATTAGACAAATTAAGCATTTGCTCCTGAATGACGATCAAAACGTAGGTTTGATCTTCAAACAAAACATATATGAGATAACTTTAACAAAAAGGAGTACACTTTTGATTCTACTGTTTAAAAAGTGAAATCAAACTCGATTAAAACAAGTCAAATAGTTTGGCGAATAAAACAAAATGAAAATAAATGATTTTTTAAAACAAGATTCTTTGAATATTTTCCAAAAAGTAGATGAAGACTTACTGTCAGTACGTTTTATCAGATAAAATAGATAGAATTATAAAAAAGACATTTCAATCAGTAACAAAACTAATGGAGAGCCATCTTTTCAAGCACAAAGAATTTAAGTCAAGTGAAATTCATCTCTTTGATTTATTAAAATCTCTAATTATGTCGAAATTGACACAAAAGACAATTTTCTAAGCTAATTATTCTTCAGCTATTTATGAGTACAATAGAATTACTTTTTCTCATATTCTTGTAAGATTCAAAATGTTTCATGTATTAAACATCTTTCTAAGCTTTTCTCTTCTAATATTTACCTAAAGAGTTTTTTAGAAAACCATTGAATCTATTCGTTTTGCTTTTAATAGTGATTGATGACTATGTTGAATACAGAAAAAAAGCAAGTGGAAAATCGATTTTCAAAAAACTAATATTTTACAACCTTCTTTTCACAAGTTTAAACATTATATCGCATTTTTTAATCAACATAATGGAAATTAGAACAAGAAATGCTTGAAATTATGGATTTTAATAACATTAAAATTTTATAACTTAGATTATATAGATAATATTATTCTAAATATGCTATTTAAACTATTTACATATGTTCTACATACGAATGAAACAATTAGGATTTCAGCATTTTGGGTTCGAACACAGTAAGTCTTGATATTTGTACAGATACTTATGGATCGTAGTTTAAATTTATATAAACAAATTTTAACTAATTGGCGATGGAAAAGTTCATGCAAAAAAGTATCGGCTCATTTTTCATCGGCTGATACATTTGTGAATAAACTCTAAAATACATGCATAGAATCTACATAGAAAGTTCTTTCTAATTTTGTGTTCAAACATGTTCCATCAACTCTTATCTTTATCTTTCAGTACAAATAATGTCTTTAAAAAGCATTAATACATGGCCTGTAATAGATACGAAATTGGACAGAAGATACCGATCCATTGAAATTTTGCTATTTCTTTTCATCCATCTCAGCCTAGAGTGTTTATCTCTTCTTTATAAGATTACCAGTTCTGTTTTGGGATACATCATAAGAACATTGCTCCGGAACTTCTTCAGATAACACAAAGAAAACTCAAGCATAGATATAAAGCCACTTTTAGATTAATGTTCCTATTGTTTTACTCAATGCTCGATTTTTTGACTTTTCTACGCATTACCTCAAAGATATTCACAGAGCCAATATTTCAGAGCACTCGTAGCCGTTATGTCACTTAATTTTATTAAAAATTGGGTCTTTTAGCTCTTGAAAAATTTTATCGGCCCATCAATGTTTTTACATTGAAGCAGGACTCTATATTTTAAATTAATTTTTTTTCAAGTTTTCGATGGAGTCATTTGAAGCGATATCGTGCGGTTTTCTACCATGGCTGCAGAGAATGGAATGTTATGTCAAATCGGAAAAGAAAAGCACCATTCAATGTATCGCACTGGATAGAATAACAAAGTTCTTAGTTCTAAGAGGATGTTGATCAGAGAGTATTATCGAGCTGAACTCTATCCAGAAAAAAAGGGTTCGATTCGTTCTGTGATGGTCACTATTGCAAAACAATACCTTGTAGAACATTTCACTACATATAGTGAACATGGCTTTCGATATAATGCATGGTCTTCAAAGAATTACTCTCGAAATATTTTTTTAAATATCTCTTTCAATCACTGACGGTTTTTTTCAAATATTTTATTACAAAAGATAACTTGTAAAACTTTTCAAAATTCCATAAAAGTATTTCTCTAAAAATCTAACTGGAAAAAGACGTCTGATCCGTCGTACAATAGTCCAAAAAGTCTCTCTCTCAAAGTGACTTGTTTTAATGGAAATTAATTATTTCTCGTCTAACGAAACAGATTTCATATTATTCTAAAGCAGCCTTCCTATGGTCTTAAGTGAGCTGGTTCTAATAGAGTTCAGACAAGGAGCCTCCAGATAATTTTTCTTCCATTCTCTGTGACCAATACTTTTGGAAAAACAGATTGAAACCATTGATTATTCTTCTTCCTCACACGACTCTTTGAAGAAGAAAGCCTTTGCAAAAGTCCTCTCAGGTCTAAACCTTAGAAAAAAAAAATTTCTTAAAGGTAGTAATAAAGTTGCAGCTGCATTAGTGGAAAATTGGATTCCACTAAATAAACGTTTTAGGGGACCTGTATGGAAGATCCTTAAAACATGAATAAAGAAGGTATACCGTATGGGAAAACAACTACTTGCGCAACTGATACAACTTTTCTTAGGCGAAAAGATGGGATATTACAATTTTTCTGTTTATGATCAAACAGCTGCGCAAAATTGAAAAACCAAGAATAAAAGCTTGAAAATAAATCTTATTAGAGTACACTATTACTAATCAAATATAGTTTTCCAGTTATTCTTTTGAAGAGATACTGTTATGTGCTCTTGTAGAGATTTTTACGGACTGTCTTTTGAAAAAATTCAAGTGAAATCGTCTACAACTGGAAGAGATATTTAGACAATACTTAGAAGATAATTCTTTTGATGGGTAATTCGTTTAATTCTGTACATATATTTTAAAAGTTGTTCACAAATGCTTTAACCCATAAAATATGACTAACATTTGGACATTAAACTTTGGATTACTCGTTAATCTATTATTTATGATAATGTACACAGAATTCAAGATTTCTGACGAGATTGTAATTTTGTTAATTACTATGATCTTAATGTGATATATCGAATAAGAATAGAATTTTATGAAAAGATTTTTTCATATTGTAAAATTCATTAGAAACAAAATTGTCTTGCTTACTCGAAAATCGTTGTCGTAGTAGCAAGTAGATCAAATGTTTGTTAGTCTTGCGATCGAACTTAACACTTTTAACACGAAAACAAACACCTGCCGTAACAAGTTCTTCTTCTTCATTGTCATATTCGGATAATGGACTAAGATCAGCAATAAAAGCAATCAATACTTCCATGATGAATAATGTATTTCCAAATTGTTCTGCTTTTTCACGATTACGACTAGTTGATGTATACGCTTGAAATGATCCATATACCTTGTCGTCTTTTGCCATTTCTTCATAACTAGCAATCTGTTCCTTAGTCAGTTTGGCTCCTCGGTAAAGTATCTTTTTGGTTGTCAATTTTTGATTAAACGGATCATCCCAAAGTAATAAACAAAATGGTCCCAATGTCCGAACTTTACTTCGCCAAACTTGTTCATGTTCTTGGTCTCCTACTAACCTCATCGCTGCATTCAATGTTTTGTACAGAAAACTTTCCAATGTGTAAAGATATGCGCAACATCTCCATACTTCCTCCATTCCTGCGTTCTTCTTTTCTCTGAGCATTTTAGCCAATTTTTCGGCTTCTCGTTCTTTTCCAATATGTTTTCCTTCTTCAATTATACCACGAGCAGCTTTTTCTATGAGCATTGGAATCATGTTTGGTTTTTTGGAAGGTAAATCATCCAGTTCAAGTTTCAAATATCTCCTAGCTTCAATTACAAACGGAGATACCCAACCATATTGACCACCAAATGAACGTCCTTTACCAACAGGAAGGTCCATAAAACGTGCTTCTCGTAAATGTTTGTCTTCTCTCTTACGCTCTACTCGTTTTATCGGTCTTTGTTTGTACTCGTCGAGGTTCAATATTTGACGATTACGTTTGAAATCAATGTAATAATTATCCAAAATTGCTCGTGGTTGTTTATCTTGAAATGCTTCTTCAATGATTAAATTTTCCAAATCAGAATAATGACTCCACTGAGCTGGCTCCGATTTTGACCATGGGTTTGGATTTGACTGCCACATCCATTGAATAGTTTTTAAACAATTCGGCGCTGTAGGTGTTGCTTGCGCCATAATTATCAATTACTTTCTTCTATTATTGATGACACAAATACGAGAATAAATAATTTTTATATTATCTGAAAATCTAAAATACAGAATGAGGGTGAAATCAATGAGAAAGTAGCAAAGAATTCATTATTAAAGTCTTATTAAAATATAGAACTTTTGAAAAACTCTTTCAGGTTTGCATGAAGTATTCTAAAATAATTGAAAGCTTGTTTTTAAAGCTTTCAAAAAACAAGAGTCTGAAGTATCTTGAAGTGTTTTGAATTGTTAGAATCCATTGTTTCTAGTTCGGATGAAAAATGTTTAATTTAGTTTTCGTTTGTTGGTCAATTTTTTGAAAATCTTAAATTTTAAACAATATTGAAATGCATAAATAAGGTAATAATTGACTTTAAAAATATAGACAACTATAAAAACTTGAGTAATTTTTATCGAAATCAGCATTAATTTAACTTTGTTTTCAAACTCAGGAGTTTTTCTCAAATAAAATTGTTAATCTTTTTAGATAGAATAACACAAAATTTGTCAATATAAGTTAATTTGAATACATAAAAAGAATACACAGAGAAGGTTTCGGCCAACCATTGATGAAAGATTTTTTATTAGGTTCTCATTTGTTTGGTTAAAAACGTCTTTCATTTTTGATCATACTTCTTTTAACGAAAAGATCGAAAAATTTCAGATAAAATATTTCAGCAGAATCAAAATTTAACGTTCTTTCGAAAAATAAGTTTCAATATAATATTTTAGATTTTTGTGAACAATCATAAGGTTATCTTTGAAAGACTCGAAAAAACATTCTGATTCAGATCGATGATTTCGACCTCGAATTTGTGCTGAAATCGGACGTTTATAATGACTTTCCAGCAGAGTCTTTTCTGCGGGGTCCATGGAATCTCTCGCCGAAATCCTCCAGAAAAAGGTAGGAACTTCAACAGATCCCACCGGAAAAACGATGCAAATTGTGGCAAAATCACAGCTAGAGATGTAAGCCGTACGGTTGAGCCGCCACCGCTAAGCAGCAGCAGATACAGACTCTGAGTAACTGTTACTAAGAAAAATTGTTGAGAGTTTTAGCCACCACAGTGATACCTGAATACGAAAATCGAATTTTTTTCAATTTATTACCATTGATGTCTGAATCATGAAGTATCTTTATAACTTTTTTGGTTATATATGTGTAAGAAAAATGAATACTCTGCGTCCGAAATAACGGTGCAAAGTATTTTTATTAGTGTTGGTGGCTTAGATTTGATCTATATCTGAATCTATGACTCAATATGACGAATTTTCATAATTTCAATGAAAGTGTTTTTACTCTAAAAACAGCTACCTATTGTACTAAAAAGAAGATTTATTTTTGTCCTTTGCACAAACGAGCAAATGATACAGTAGATACTAAACAAAGTTATTGGAAAATTTGCTTCTGCAAATGAATATTTGAACAAATAGATGATGATTCATTCTCAATCCAAAAAGGATTAGCGTTTACAGTTTTGCATGAGGCATTGGAATTATGGCAAATCTTCTATAAGCAATGCATCGAGTGATACAAAACTCATCAAATCAAATCAAAACAAATCAACAAATTAGCATATTCTCCGCCGATGTTTGTCTAAATTTTCATACAAAAAAAACTGTACAATGAAAATAAGTGCTCTGGCACAAATAAACTTTCACGCTTTGTAGAGGTAGTGTCTCAGTCTCTCTCTTTACAATTTAAAACGGGTAATTTTGTAACATCTTGATATATATCAATCGAGTTTGTCCATTGTTATAATCACTGGATCTCTAGATGTCGGGGGAAAACTTGTTAAACAACTGATTATTCATTTCTAAATCACTGAAACGTAACGTCTTGATTAAACTAATGTGCGAAATTACAATCATTTTATTCAGTTTTTTGAAATTATAATAAATTAGAAATTGAAATAAACAGACATTTCTTAGCATCTTAAGAACTATTCAGTTTTAAAATTTCCAGCCGCCGCCGCCTATTGGCTCATCGACTTACACGTCTAATCACAGTAACAACTAAGGAACCGATCGAAAATACTATATAACTCATACACAAAAGCACTTGTGAGTAATTTTCGTAAGGGCTAATAACAGCGCTCATGAAATTTTTCGATAAAGTCATTACTAGTAATCTAATCAGTGTGAAATTATTCTATATAGCCTTACAGAAAACAATAATTTCTCTCTGACATATTGATTGAGAAATAGATAGAAACTCCACCAGGCTGCACCAGTAGTGCAGTCAGGTTTTGGAGCTAGGAAGGGGAGGGCTGACTCCTGAGCTAACTAAATATATATTTTGAAATTCTGGCTGGGGGGTGAGGGGCTTAAAGATCCAAATATAGGGGTCGAATCCCTTGATACACAATCTAGGTTTCGGAATTTTGCTAGGAAGAGGATTGAACCCCCGAGATCCCCCATTAGACTGCACATAAAAGAGGCTGAAAACACAAAGAACTGAGTTGAATCAAGGGGTGATCGACTAACAATACAAGAAAGCTCATCCTCAAAAGGAATCCATCGAAACATTATTACCATTAAAACAACCATTCTCTCTTCCATCCTTACAGATTAAATTCATTCGTCTCATTGTATAATTTGAACGGGTAAATTTGAATCTCAGAACGACAACGATTCCTTCACCATCTTATCGTCAAAAGTGAGCATGGATTTTCAACACAACTTAAATGCTTGGAAGTGAGGATATATACTCATGTGTGTTTGACAGGTATTCATGAAACATGGAAGGAATTAACTGTATGAATCAGGTTCTTAACATGTTATTTATTGGTCTTTCGAGAAATTTTTCAAGTGATTAAGCAGGTAACTTTGTATAGAGATGAAGTAATCATTGAAACATGAAAAGCATCTTTCAGAGATTTATTTCTCTTGTGATAAGATTTAGTTATTCTGCAAGTCATTTTCTGTCTCATAGAAAATATAAAAATATTACTCGAATGGTTGGAGAAGGTGTTGCAACAAACGATGAATTGACTTTTTGTAGTAGGGTAATGTGCGCGGAATCATTTCGGGTATTATTTAGATGTTCATTATGCTACTGATGGCAATTGATATCGACAAACTTAGAGCGTAATTTCACGAGGATTTTCTTGGTATTGTCTTTTTTATGAGGTATACACAATTCATTAGTGTAATTGAAAGAGAATCTTCTGTTGGTGGTATTGACTTTTGAGTTACGGAGTCCTTAATTATAGTGAAAACGAAAGATTCATTGTATCTCATTTATCTTCATTTTACGGAATGTGGAAATTATGGGATCTAGAAGACAAAAAATTGAGCATCCATAACTCGAGTCGTTTCCAACCGTATCATAATCACCTAAGGCACAGACAACGTTTATACACATTTTCTTATTTTTACTACTGGAATCTTAAGTCTTGGCTTACAATCTTCATTTATATGACAGCAGATTTAAATAAAATATACCCTACAAATTGATCTAAGCCGTTTCTTTTCTGTCTTCTCAAGTGACATCAAGATTTGTTTATTTTCTTATCACTTTCAGTTATGAAAAATCGACTTCCTCATTGAACAGCGTGTTATGTAGAAATTAGTATCTGAGAAAATGTTTATAATTTTACTTCGACATCATATTTTATTTAGAATTGCTCTCTACAAAATTGTTGAATCCAACTGTTTTTAAACAAATTTATGTTGATTCGCTGCACACAAAAATATTTTCAGGACGTCCACAATTTTTCTCACCAGTCTAATGCAAAAACAGATACAAAAGTTCTGAATGAACATTTAAAAAGAAGTAAAGATTCTGTTTCTATCTAATAATTTTTGAGTTTTTCTCAAATTCTTTCACATCAACGAAAAATGTGCAAGCATCATGTTTTCTAACAAAATTTCGATTCATCCGTTCATTGTAACAAGACAAATCCAAAAAAAGACAAATTTTTGTCTCATCTGTCAATGCTACAAACCAAAACACGAAATATGCGATCTAATATTTTATTTCTCTATCAGAATATCAAATAGAATGATAAATCTTGGTTAAGAATTCGTTTTAAGATTTCAATTAATCATTCATGTCATCTTTTATTTCTTACTTAGATTAAAGGATGATTTTGATTGAATCTACTATAAGTGAATTCAATTTTATTTATCTTCATGTATTTGTTCTTGTTTTGTTTTAGTAATTTTTTTTTCTGAAAAAATTCGGGCACTATTTAACTGATATGTTCAATACTATGATAAAAACAAAAAGATCCGTTCAAATGAATCTATTCGATTGGAAATTTGAACATTTAGAATTATATCAGTGTCTTTTCGTCTTTTCTCTGCAATACTTGCAAATCTTCTTAATTTAATAATGAAAATTAATTTTCAAAAAAACACTTATACTATTTCAAGAAATGTCCACTCTATCGATCAATTAAGAGAAAAATCCAACAGAAAATGTTATTTTTCGTTATTAGATTATCGTTCATTCTGGACAAGTGTTTTTTTTTTATAAACAATACAACAAATAATACTTATTATAGTCGTAGTAACATGCGAAAAGTTATTGGTTTAGTCTTCATTGATCAATATTAAAGAATTTCAGTTTTGAACAAACAATCATATGAATAGAGAGAGAAAATCTATAGAGCAAAACAAACAATGAAGATATTTCGTCCTTAGTCATTGAGAAGAAAATATAAGAACTCAAATTCATAATATAACGACGTTCGTAACAAAGTTTGACTCTATTGTGTAATTGAGTATATTTCTTAGGGATGTGGGAGAGGATGTGGGGTGTGGCGGTGATGGTGTAGCTGTGGGTGAGAATAAGACCCACACCCACCCACATCGAGAATGATCTCATTTAAAAGAGCACATGAAAATGTATCAACTGACACTTTCAAAAATTTGTGGCATTGAACTTTGTTAGCAAAAATTCGTTGAACAAGACTGGAAAGATCGAATTTGGTCCCGATTCTCACGATGAAGATTGGTAATTTTCTTTCAAATGTCTGATA